TACTGGGAACACGAAGGTGTCCGCAGTGTCTCGGTCTGCTGAAGCACGGAGACTCCTGAAGAACACCCCACACCATAACCCCCCTCTACCAAACTTTACACAGCGCAGTCAGACAAGTACCGTTGTCCCGGCAACCGCCAAACCCAGACTCGCTCGTCCATCGCCAGATGGAGAAGCGTGATTGGTCAGTCCGGGGAACACGCTGACACTGCTCTAGAGTCCAGTAGTGGTGTGGTTTACACCACTGCATCAACTTTATTTATACCCATAGGTAAATTTGCTTTACAGAAAAATTGCAGCATTTGGCTTCAAAAGCACACATACCTAATAAATATAAACCTCACTGTAACACATTTATAGTACTTTAACATTTCGAGTCAAAAAAACAATGTAAGGTGTGGGGGACAAGAGAGGGGACAAACGTTTCCAACTCTCATCAGTGTCCACTTGTCCAGTCTGCAGACTGTCAGCCACCTTCACTTCTTCACTGGAACATTAGATGGACTCTGTCTGTCCACCCTTTACATCTGAGGTCATGTGACTGCCTGCACACTTTCACCTTTGACTGAATCAGTTCATTTTTCCAATTTGTGCTGTTGTTCTGTGTCAGTGTGCAGACCTCTGCTGTTCAGCTCTACAGTATCTTTCACATCGTTCCTTTTTCAGAATCACTTTTATTCCCATGATCACTGCGCTGACTCTCGCACATGCAGCGATCATCAGGAGGGCCTCAGGTGTTCAGGAAGGCAGCTGTGCACAGATGTGGAAAGCAGCTAACTTCTCCTGTTCATTTATTCTAATTATTTATGCCTCACAGCTTCATAATGCCCTCCCTCGTCACGGCTCCTGGCTTTAACAACCCTTCCGGTAGGAGCACACGGACACCAACAGACTGTTAGCACATGGCTAACATTAGCATTACTGTAGACAGCTCATCACAGTTACTCTGTGCTCTGAGAGCTGCGTGCACTGCTGCTGTTCATCTCTCACTGTCAACCTGGAAACCTCATCACTGACATCATCACCCAGAGAACGAACAAACAAACAGGCGTGTAAACAAAAAAAATTTATTTATCAGAGAGAAACAAACAGCAGCAACGCTGCCATGGGAGAAAACAAGAGCAGAGGGGGATTCTGGGTAATAACTGACGTGGTAACATCAGCACACACACGCACACACACGCACACAGAGGAAGTGAACAGAGAGGCTCATGGGAAGCTGTCATCGTCATCTTCAGCCATTTCTTTAGCAAACTCCAGATCCTGCTGCTCGCGTTCCCGACGCTCCTGAACGCACCACACACACACACACGCACACATACGCGCACACACACGCGCGCACGCACAAAAAACAGATTGAATGCAGATGACAGGAAGTGCATCTTTATTATTTTATTCTGATTTGTCTCTGTGTAAGCTACAGTCACACGCTGCCACCATGTGGTCAACTAAAGACATGACATCACGTGCTGTGTGTGTGCGCGCGCGTGGCAAGGTGTTTCTGAGCAGTGTACCAAGAGCACGGAGAAAAGTTGTCGTACCATAGGCACGAGGAGTGTGTGTGTGTGTGTGTGTGTGTGTGTGTGTGCGTGTGCGTGTGTGTGCGTTACCTCTGCAGACTCCAGGTCCTTGTTGTACGCTTTGGGAGGAAACCTCATGGCCTGCAGGAGGACAGAGGGAGATTAGCATCAGGGTGATCGACTCTTAAACCTGAGGTCGTGTAACCGAGCGGATCCCCGGGTCCTGCTCCTCTACCTCCTCCTCCTCACATTAAAGCAGATTGAGGAGGAGCAGGAGGAAGAAGCTGCTTCCACAGATTTGACAAGAAGGCTTCCAGTCAGACCTCTGCCGACAGGAAGTGACAGAGCTCGCAGCATTATGGTGATGCAGAGCAGTCTGTGGGCGGAGCTTTTGTGATTTCACATTCTTGTGTTGACCTTGAGTCCTCGGGTGTGAGAGGTGTGTGTATGTTCAGGTGCGCTCACCTTGACCGACATGTTGTGGATGTCGAGGCAGAAGGAGATCCTCTGGTGGAACGCCAGCTGAGGCTCTCGGGTCCCGTAGATGTCCATGGTCTCCTTGGACTGGACGAAGCCTTTCTCGTGGTTGATGCTGGCCTCGATCACGCCGTCACGGATCGCCTGTGACGCAAACACGCAGAGGTCACACAGAGGTCACGAGGTCAGCGTTAAAAAGGCGGCGCTGAGCGCGTCCGTTTACCTTGGCAACGATGAACTCGGCGTCCTCAGGACTGTCGAGCTGCAGCTTCTGAGCGATGTCGGCGAGGGAGATCCGAGAGTACGAGAGGCTGATCATACGCACACCTGCGCACACACACAGATCAGTAACACACTGAGCGCGGCTGATGAGCAGCGTGCTGTGTGACGGCGGCGTACGATTGGCTCACCGGTCTTGATGACGTTGTGTCTCAGGCGGATGATGAGCGTGTACGTCCCGTCGGCCTGAAACTTCTCTCCAAACTGCTCCAACACCTGGTTAAACTTGGCCAGGTTACCTGTCCTCACAGCTGCACACACAGATACAGGAAGTGAACAGAGAGGCTCATGGGAAGCTGCGAGTATCTGAAGGTAGGTACACCACTGTGTTAGCAAACATTGTTCCTCCAATCAGAACCCATCGTTGCGCCATAACTCTACGGTCTGAGTCACATGATCAGGCGTGTGTGTGTGACACTGACCCTGTGTGAGCAGGAAGTAGGGCATCAGGGAGCGTTTGAGTGACGGCTGTCTGAACTGCAGGCGGTCGGGAATCTCTCCCAGCAGCAGCTCCACCACGATCAGCAGCTTGTGGACCTGAACCGGAGCCGATCGATGCTTCAGTGATCAATACCAGACACCGATACCTGACCGTGTGTGTGTGTGTGT